CTGCTCAACGCTTTACTGCTTCTTAGCAAGACATAGGAAATGATAAAAAATACCAATTTCCTGCCCAATCATTTTTGCCTGCAACACACACGGCCCTTAGGAAATCTTGTTAGAGGAGAAACAATGGATTCCTCAATCCACTTCAGAAGCCCTAAGTGACAGCATCTTCCAATGATGGGCCAGCTCAACATTTCTCCATGGGTAACAGAAAAGGTCTAAACCTCCTAATCACTCAACCAAAGAATCCACAAACGTGAGTGTAGATAGAAGCCCAAGGTCACATGTCCAACTTTCCTCATTTTACAGAGAAAAGAGGCAAGTTAGACTAAAAGAATCATGGACTCTCCTTCAAATGGGTACCAAATAAGCTGAGAAGGGGACTGTATCAGTGTATGTTGCAGCTCTTTCCACCGTAACACTGGCCTGATGGGGCCGTGCCATGTGCTGCTTAATACCATCTGCCATCAAATGCCAAGTCCTTCAGACCTAAATTAGGAAATATGTCCAAATACATAAAATGATGCTAAGACTCCTAAATGAATCTTTCTTCCTTTAAGAAGCATGAGAGTCACCGTCAACATAATGCTCTTTAAGGAGACAATCCTATCAGTCTCCTTGCACTGATTCTAGGTGAAGCTATGTGGTCTTGTTATTTATCCTAAAACCAGAGATTTGCAAAATAACTAAAATGAAGGGCAGGACCAGTCAGATCTCTGTATATACCCCCGGCCTCATTTTGTTGTGATCCCTCTGTAAAGCCTACTAGAGAAAAGATGTCAAGGAACTGCCAAGGGAATGGGACGCCCTGCCATCCACCACTGCCCAAGGTACAACTTCTCTGGAGGACAAACGTCTACCAAAATGATGAAGGCACATATTCCTCTGACCCAGCAAGTCTACTGGGCAGAACTGATCCTACTGATAACATCCATGTGGACCAAGTGTTGTTTGTAATAGCAGAAGACTGGCAGTATTCTAACATCCATCAATAGGGAACTAGCTGAATTAATTAAGGCACATTCACAGGTGCAATATCATAAAGTTGCAAAAAACAAAAACACCAGGAATTTCTTTATTATGTCATAGAAATGATCTCCGAGAAATTTTATTGCCGGAAAAAGCAAGTTGCAGAACAATGATACAATATTTTACTATTACGTTTTTAAAAAGAGGGGATTAAGAGTAGATATGGTAAGGTAATGTGACTTTAAGTGCATAAACTATCTCTAGAAGGATGCACAAAAAACTGGCAATGCTCATTTGGCTCCAGAAAGAGAAACTGGGTGGCAGGTCGAAAGGAGTGGAAAGGAGCCTTCCTTCCTGTCTTTTGATTTCTAAATAGGTCAATGCATTCATTACCTAGTCAAAAAATACTTTTGTTTTAGAAGTTTAAAAATCTGCTCTTCTAAAAAATGGCAAAAATACATAACAGTCAATTTTTCCATGACTTTATGTGGTCACACACACACAAAAATGCTGGCAAACCCAAGTGTGGCCTCTAATTCTCACCTCTAAAATCCAAGTCTGGGAGCCTCTACCCCGTAGGCAAGATGAGATGCTCCAGAGCACTCACTCTCTCTGATCCCTTCCTACATTGGCTGAGATGACTGTTCAGCCAGCTATAGTCCCAAACCTTTTTACAAAGATGAAATAGATAAGTATTCACTAAATTACTTTGTTTTGTTTCCTTAGAAAACTATGTTTATTAACAGAGCCAGGTTACTTGACAAGTACCAGTTTGTTGAGATCTGTGTGTAACACACCAGTGCCAGGAATACGACTGGTGCTCAGTGACTACCTGTGATGAATACACGATGTGCTGGCTAGCTAGATACATGAATGGATGAATTTGGGCCACTATTACTCGATACCTGATGCTCATGCAGCTGTGATGCCTATAGAATGCTAATGCAATCATCATATGCTGCAAGGATATCCTCCAACTAAATAAAAACAACACCTCTGGAATACTTCCACAGGTTACAGAGATTTAAGGTCTCTACTATAATGTGATTTCAACATTTGGACTTCACTGTCTTCTTTTATCACAGTTAATCAATAATGGACTATAGCAAAACCCCAGTTCTGTATCAGATACAAACAAAGATAAACCAAACTCTCTGTTCTCATAAAACCTTCATCTGAATCCTAGATATCCAGGCCAGAGGCACAGCACAAGCCCTAGTGTGTAGATAGCTCCAGGCAAACTCCACTGCTGACAGTCTCACACAAACCTAATAAAACGTACTGGGACACACACTGCCACCAGACTGACGAACAGACATGGCCAAAACATGGTATTCGCAAGCACAGTGACACTGAGCCTTTGCAATGAGACTATTTGGAAATTATGACATCACATTATAGCACAGCTGAATGATACTAAAATCTCACCGCCGGGCACGGTGGCCACGCCTGTAATCTTAGCACGACTGCTTGAGCTCAGGAGTTTGAGACAGGCCTGAGCAAGAGTGAGACCCTGTTCCCATTAAAAGCAGAAAAAAAAAAAAAAAATTAGCTGGGCAACTAAAAATAGAAAAAGTTAGCCAGGTGTGGTGGTGCCCACCTGTAGTCCCAGCTACTCAGGAGGCTAAGGCAGGAGGATCACCGGAGCCCAGGACTTTGAGGTTGCTGTGAGCTAGGCTGACGCCACAGCACTCTTGCCCAGGCAACAGAGTGAGACTCTGTTTCAAAAAACAAAAAAAAAAACAATTTCACAGAGCCACCATGACAATTCTAACAGAAATGACAATTATGTTTCTTAAAAATGCAGGTTTTTCTGAGGAAACAATCAGAGGGAAAGTCTCATCTCTGTGAAAATAAGTAGTTACATAGATGAAGCTTGGCATTCATCTTATTTTTGAGTAGCATTCATGTTGGAGAAATATCTCAACGCAAAGTTATTACCAGCACGACTAACAACCAGACATTCACCCACACAAGTGTTTGGAGGTTTGGTGCTATACTTACAAAATATTTGGATGACTAAATGCTACTCTCAGCTTTCAAAGAGATATTTAGAAACATTCTTGTAGCAAATGTACTACCACTCTTAATTTTAAAACACCAATGAAAAATACCAGGAAACTAGTCATTCGAGGGACTAGACATTTTTAAGCAAGAATTTTCGTAAAATTAATGTATCAATCAGCTCATTCTTATAATTAATGCTTTTAGTCGGGTTGGAAATTTTGAGAGGAATCCAAAAAAACGCCTACTTACATCTGTATCTAAAAGATCCTCCCAGATAATTTTGTGCTGAACTGTCCCTTTAACTAGTTTCTCAAATGTATCCACTACAATTGTATCACTACAGGAATAAATCCATTCAGATAAGTCAAAGAGAAAGAGGACCTGCCAGATAAAAAATTTATTAAAAAGATGAAAATTTTAAATCAGACTAGTATTGAATATAATAATAACTACCACCTCACCACACTGAGAACTCTAAAAATAAATGAGATAACAAAAACTTGAAAGCATACCAGATGAAAAATTAGAAAGCAGTCTCTCCTCTCTCAACAAATGAGCTCACCAGGGATCAGAAAAGAAAGTGTTTTCAGAGCTGGAGAAAAGAACTGCCTTAGGAAACCAACTCCCACACCTTCCCCCACTTCCTGGGAAGTCAAAATGTAGGAGTTACAGCATCACAGCCTTTCCAGCTGATACAATTGCTATATTCCCACAAAATAGGCTGACTTGAGCTCAAAGGGAACACTTTCTCAAGGTGAAACTTCAGGACACCATGCATGCTACTGCTCGATCGTCTTCCTGGATGAAGAATATGCCACTGGAAATCAGGATCTTTCAATTCTTGAGCATTTACTAGGTTGCAAAACCAGTGACATCTACATAAATAAAAGGTCAAATACACAGGGGAAATAAGATGTAAGAATCACCACCAGAGGCCAGAATCGAACTATGAGTGGTACAACTAATAGGAAGCACACAGTGATAGTTAAATCTCACAGCCAGGCACTATGTTGAAAGCTGTATAATACATCTTTCCATTTACTCCTACAACTCTATGAAGTAGGTACTGTTTATGAACTCCATTTTATAAATAAGGAAACTGAGACAAAGAGAGGGTCTGCTGATTTAGAGATGTTCCTTCCCAGGAATCCCACCAAGCGCCAGAAGAGTCAGCGGCAGGCAACTGCAAGAAACACAAATGAACAAAACTTCATCCCTCTCTCCCCTGATCCCACTGGAAGAGAAAGAGTCCTATAAATCACCTTTCAGACTAAGTACTTGGCCTACAGTCAGGATAGGAAGATGCTAGGGAGTGATAAAATACAGTCATCATTCAAAGAGTTTCACTTACAAACTTGTCTCCCTACTCTGGCTCAGAGAGTGTCAGAAAGTACTTTTATGCACTGTTGGAAAAGATGTAAATTTTGATGCAACCTTTTTAAAGGGCAATTTAGCAGTGTCCATCAACGTCTCAAGGGCACATCCTAAATATATGCTACACTAGGACTTTAGCAAGTTGCAATATGTATTGTAGCGTTGCCCAGGGTAGCTCAAACAGCAAAAGCAACCTAAATGCCTACTAGAGGAGGGACTGGCAAAGCAGGCTATAGGCTGTAAGCAGATGCTGGACTCCTAAAGAGAAGGACCTACAGAAATGCTGACATGGAATGTGCTCTCCAAGGTATATTATTGAGTAAAAAGGCTGTGTACAGAACACTACTTACTATGATCCCACTTCTACAAAGGTATGTTTCTAGTGGACAAATGTACCTATATATGCATTAAATTTCTCTACAGGGATACTTAAAAGCTGTTTCTTCTGTGCAGTGAAGTTGGGGGAAGGAAGGAGAAAGAAAATAATTACTTTTCATTTTATATTCATTTGAAGTGCTTGAATTTTTTTTACCATGCTGATATGCTGCCCTAATACATTTAAAAAGGAAAATAGTCAGCTTTTCTCAATTGCCTTCTAAAAAATACAATCTATGTTCTTTTTTTGTTAATTGTACATCTTGCTATTTTTGTACCTTGTTTCCTTCGTACACCCATCCCAGACTCTTCACACCAAAAGCAACCTGGGTGGCTGAGACATCTAGACACGTGACAGGCTGTCCGTAGACATAGTGAAGAGTTCTGGCCGAGTCTTCGGCTTTTAGCAGGTATACCAGATCTCCAGCAGTGGCTACTGCCACGGGGTACCTTCCAGTATTGGGAACTATTTCAAGGTAGTCAACCTATTAAAAGATAAAAAATGTTTAGTCCCATAAATTCACCCTGACTTGGTCAAAAATATGCAATTCTTCCTACATATCAATAAGACTAGCAACCCAACAGAAAAAGGCAAGCAAAGGGAGCATTCACAGGAAATGAAACACAAACAGCTCTTACACAAATGAAAAGATGCTCATCATAAGACATTCCTAAAAAGTGAAATACAAAGTAAAAATTCATTGAGATGGGATTTTCCACCTGTTGTGTCACTAAAGGTCAAGAAGACTGACAGCACACTAGGCTGAAGTGAAGGGGGGACAACCATGTTTGTGGATCCCGCTTAATGTTGGTGGGGACATAATCTGGTCCAACTTCTATCAAGGGAAATCTGGCAACATTTATCAAAATGCCAAATGCACATACACTCTGACCCAGCATGTCCACTTCTGGGAAGTTACTTACAAATAAACTCACACGTATGCAAAATGAATGTGTATGAAGTTATTTACTGTAGTTCCATTTTGTCATACCTGAATACTAGAAAAACCTAAACATCCATTACAAAGGGACTAATTGAATAACCTTACAGGACATCTGTACATTGGAATACCACACAGCCATAGAAGAAGGATGAAGACATTCTTTATAAACTGATAAAAATGGGATAATCTCCAAGATACATTTGGGGAGGGAAGCAAGGTAACAGGATCCCCAGTGTGCTGACATGTGCGTGAGGTCGGGGCAGAGTGTCCAAGGCACTGGACTTGCACATGCATGAATCTTCTAACAATGGTTGCCTTCAGGAGGGAAATGGGCTGTGGGATGGGACAATAGGGAGATTTCCCACTGCCAACCTTATTGTGTCTTTTAAATTCTGAACCATGAGGGTGTAATAGCAATTTTCAAAAAACAAAAGTATTTTCTTTTAAAAAAGAAACTTAATAAAATTCATTCAGCTCCAAATTAGCAAAAAGCTTATTTTAATATTTATGCAAATACCAAAAATGTATGGCCAAAAGGTTAAAAATTTCTGAGTTATCTGCTCTCTCCTGTCTCAATGTCATGCCGAGATTCCACAGAGGGTCCATTTGGCCAGGGCAGGAGGGCCACTACAAACAAAAATTGTCCCTACCACCACAGTGCTCCTGACTACACTCTTGCTAGCACTTCTGCACTTCCTCTAATTTCCATGGGTGTGAGGAGCACCTTTCAAGAAAAATTTGCAGACCCTGTCTCTACTAAAAATACAAAATTTAGCCAGGTGGCGGTGGCACACACACCTGTAGTCCCAGCTACTCGGGAAGCTAAGACAACAGGATTGCTTGAGCCCAGGAGTTTGAGGTTGCAGTGAACTATGTTCATGCCATTGCACTCTAGCCTGGGCAACAGAGCGAGACTCTGTCGGAAAAAAAAAAAAAGAAAAAAGAATAATTCGCTTTTCTCTCTCCACAAGCAGCACATTTCTCCTTGGTGCAGGTTTTCACTTCCTTGAGTAAATTGTGAGAGTACAAATGCTGAAGGTGAGTCACACTGTGTAATTATGAAAATCCACAACATAGAAGGACAGCATTGCCCTGACAATATGCCAAATGAGTTCAAAAGCCCGAATCCTGAAGGCTGTCCAGGGAAGCTTGAGAGAGAGAGTAAACATCCGGGTAACTCTGCTAATCCTTGGGCCCAACAGTGTGAGTGGCAGCCCAACATCCCAAGCCGCAAGTCCACCACAAAGGACAGACGCTCTAGGCTAATATTACAAACCCGGGAACACTGCCATTGCTATTCAGGGATTGTATGTGGGCAAGACAACAATGGCCCAGCTCTACAGGCCAGGAGGTGCCTTTTCCAGGGATACTCAGCGCCTTCTGTGGCAACCCCTCACCCAGGTGACAAATAATTCATAAGAAGTGTTATAAAACATGCCTCCAGCAATAGCTGCTTGCTTCCTCTCACTCCTAAAAAGCATTTCTCATTTTCCTAAAACTGATCTTCAGTCTAGCCCTTTAACTTCATCTTCAGGCTGGATTTCTGACAGACCACAAGGCTCAGGTTGATGGTGTTGTGCCATTTTCTGGGGGCTGTAAACCACTTCAGAAAGCTCCCAGTCTGTGCCAGGATGCCACCTTACTGCCAAAGCAGGATTTATACCTTATAGAGGGACCAGAATCTTAAATAAGTGTCTGAGTCCATATATTAATAATTAATCAGGGACCAAATGATGAGCACTATGGTAGTTTTGAGAGCAAACAGAAATATTATAAAATATTAGAAATATTAATAGAAAAATTTCAGATTTTTCTAATAAAACCCCAAGATGAGATGACAGCATCAGGCAGTTTTGGGGAACACTGCATCCAAAATGCAGAGACCTGGTCCGCAAAGGGACAAGAAGCTCATAAAGGTGAAGCAGTGGGTAAGTTATTAACATCTAAAATGATTTCCACAAGGGAGGAAAGAGAGCCACCAATTCGTTAATGTTGCCCTTTCTGTTCACTCTCCTACCAGTGTGCAAATCAAGTTCGTTTAAATTAAATCCAAACTCAGCACAGATGAATCTGAGTGCTTCCTTCTCAACACCAGCTCTTGTAGCATGCAAATACAGAGGTTCACATGCAACTGAACTCCGAGATAAGCTCTGTAAAGAATTCTTTAGCCTGGCTGAGCTTCACACATGACATACTGGAACAGGGCTACCAAATTAAATCTACTTTCACTCAAGAGTGACTTTTAATTCCAGGTGAGGGCAGGGCCCGGTGGCTCACACCTGTAAGCCCAGCACTTTGGGAGGCCAAGGCAAGAGGATCGTTTGAGGCCAGGAGTTTGAGATCAGCCTGGGCAACATAGTGAGACCCCGGTCTCTGCAAAATGTAAGAAAATTTAGCTGGGTGTGGTGGTGTATGCCTGCAGTCCCAGCTACTTGGGAGGCTGAGGCAGGAGGATTGCTTGAAGCCCAGGAGTTGGAGGTTACAGTAAACTATGAGCACACCACTGCACTCCAGCCTGAGTGACAGAGTGAGACCCCAACTCTTAAAAAAGAAAAAATTCCAGGGGACCACTAAACTCATTCTCACTTATATATTAGGCCAGAAACTAATCTCAGATTTCTAGGAGTGAGAGTCCGCCAAGGAAGTCTGAAGGAGGCTGGGGACAACAGTGATAAGAAACTATGGTCCTGAAACCAGCCCTGAGGTTTGAATCGCAACTTCTTAGCTCTGAGACCTGGAGCAAGTCAATTCACTGCTCTAAGCCACTGCTGGCTTCTCGGCAAGTAGGGAAAATGATACTACCTGTTCTGTAAGGCTGTAATTAGATTTATGGATGTAAGACCCACAGGAAGCTCTGAGTGAATGGGAGACAAGGACATCATTACTACTGGTTTAAACTAGACCCAGAGATTCTAAGAATGGAAAATAAAATGACCAGACTAAAAGCTTACCAGTTTCTGAACTTCAAACTCTGCAGTTATTTGCCCATGTCCCTCCTCGTTGGTATATAACATCACAACATCAAAAGCAGAAGCTGTGGCAACAATTGCATCGTCCCGGCTGAGGGCTATTGCCTGTATTCTTGCATCGTGCTCAAAACGGTGAATAGGATACTTTCCAGTCCTTAAATCCCAAATATTAAGAAATCCTACGTAGAAAGAAACAATTGCAGATAATAATTTTTAATTTACTTAATTAAAATTAAGTACAACTATAAAATATCATGCCACATGAAGAAAATTTTTAAATAAATGATAAACTGGCAAAAAATATTTACATCACATATAACAAAAAGCCAATTTCCTTAATATATAAGGGGCTTCAGAGATTCAATAAGAAAAAAAAACAACTGAAAAGTGAGCAAAGAACCAGGAGGATGCTGTTCATAGAAAAATATAATGGACATTTAAACATAAGAAAAATGTAAAAAGTCACTCAAAATTAGCAAAATACAAATAAAAACTGCAATATGATACCATTTTTCATTAAATCGACAAAAATAACAACTTTCATAAAACATTTTGTTATTACAGAGAAATAGGCCCTCTCTTAAATTGTTGGTGAGAATGTAAACTAATTTACCCACTTTGGAGGCAATTTGATAATATTTATCAAATTACAAAAGTATATACTCTTTAACTCAACCATACATTTATACATGTACACAAGTATATACAAGGATAGTCACTGTAATGTTTTTAATTATGTCAAAAGATTGGAAGCTATCTAAATGTCCGTTGATAGAGAACTGCACCTCCACAGTGTGGAAATTGGAATATCATGAGCAGTTAAAGAGGGAGTCAGCCTTATATGTAATCTATAGAATAGTCGTGTGGTATGCTGTACCACTTCTGTGATTTTAGAAATTTACACACACACACACACACACACACACGGAACATCCTAGAAGGATGCACAAGATACTATTAATGATGATTGGCCTCTAAGGAAAGGAATAAGAGTAGGAAGGAAATTCACTGTATATATCCCTGTATACTCTGAAATGTTTTCTAAAAGTTATCTTTACCAAAAAGACAAGTTAAAAAAATGTTTTTATGAAAGAGACCCAAGAATACATATGTTAATAGCTGCATAGTTTGAACATGATGTTCTTAATTCATTCTTCTATTTATCCATTCATTCATACAACAAATAATTATTGAACACCTGTTACATGCCAAGCACCATTCCAGATGCTAGCAATACCTGAAAATGGCCACTAACCTACATTCTAAGCGCTCTAACAAGTACAGGTTCAGTATGCCTTATCTGAAAAGCTTGAGATCAGAAGTGTTTTAGATTTCCTAATTTTTTCTTTTGGAATATCTGCATATACATAATGAGAGATCTTGGGAGTGAGATCGAAGTCAAAACATGAAAGTCACTTATGGTTCATACACACCTGAAACACATAAGCTGAAGGTAATTTTATACAATATTTTCAGTAATTTTGTGCATGAAACAAAGTTTTGACTGCAACCCATCACGAGGTCAGGGGTAGAATTTTCCACTTGTGGTCTCATGTCAGTGACTGAAAAGTTTTGAATTTTGAAGCACTTTGGATTCTGGATTTTCAGATTAGGGATGCTCAACCTGTATTTTACAGCCTTCCTCACCTACGTCCACATATGGCCTCTATTAGCAGCAGTGCTTTATTTTGTCCAGTTCTAAAACACAAGCTTCACTATCATACATTTGCTAAAAATGCTGATGTTACGACACACCCTTTTTCCTAGCACCTTGAATACTGCTACCCAGATCGATTCCTCATACACGTACTGGCCACGTCACCACCTGTCCTGAATTATCCGTGGCAGTGATCTCTGAGGTGGTCCTGAGACCAGCAGCACTGGCATCACCTGGTGACTTGGCAGAGATGCAAATTCCCACGCACCAGAAACTCTGGGGCTGTACACGTAAGTTCGAGAATCCCTGGTCTACAGGAACTTAAGCTTAAACTGCCACAAGTATAAACTTCTGTATTTGGAATGCCACGGATTCTTCTTTCCTCAAAAATAATTTCTTTGTGTCATTCCCACCCACTAAGCTACCTTCTTTCACCTCAAAGATTTACTCAAGAAAATAATTACTTTCTGCGTTAGGCTGGATAATGGCCTATTCCAATTCCAATTGATTTTATTTTTCAAAATTCACTGAGAAATAATTGTGTGGAGATAACACAGTGTGTGGCTATTGGTTTGAGTTCAAATCCAGCTCTACCACTTGCTGGCTAAAGGACTTAGGGGAATTACTTAACAGCTGCGAGCCCTTTTCTTCATCTGTAAAACTGAAGATGACATAAACCTACTGCACAGGACTACTGGGTAGATGAAAAGAGACCAACCATACAAAATGCTGATGACAGGCCATTCCTTCCTCCCTTTTATTTTTACCTATTCTATAGTGCCTGTTGTGTTATAAAACATATTTAATCTATCGGTAATGCTAATATCCTCTCTCTTGTTCATCTAGACATCCAGTCCTATTTCCTATAACTTCCTATTACCTAGGACAGATAAAGATTTTCATTTTTCTCTTTGCAATCCATCTTTTTTTCTTGCCTTCTACTTTGTATCTACATTGTAAATGCTTTGAATTTAGGATCTTACTATAAAGTATCATTCACTAAATAATTTTAGAGAATTGGAAAAAGTAATACATTTGGGTTGCTCTGCAAGACTTTCAAACTGTCAGGAGAGTAAGTGATTACAAACAAGAGCAGAGCCTTCTTCAAATTAAATGTTACTTCAAATCTAAAACTTACGTACTTGTGTAAGAATTATGATGAACTTAGGGGATAAGCAGATCACAAAAGGCTCCACAACACATTTCCCCGGCAAATATTTTGGCAATTCTTTCCATTCTGACTCAGAAGAAAAAATATAAGGCAGAAAATGCCTGTGGCTCTACACATTAAATAGGAGATAGGATCTCCCATTCCAAGATGTCTTAACACATGCCTCTTAAAATATTCTGCATTGCACTTGTTTTGAGACATCACAACAGTCTTTACTATTTAACGGAAATAAAACATTGCTATTTGTACAGAGCTTTCAAGTGGTCAGACACTTTTCATGTCTACCTCTCACTGAGTACTCACTTCCAAATTGGGAAGAGTATCGTCATACTCCTCTCACTGAAGAGAAGAAACAGAAGTGCCCAGTGGTTAAACGACTTGGTCAAAAGCCACTCGCTATGTGATAAGGTCGGGCTGGAATTTAGCTAGGAAAGTACGGGATAAGCGGCTGCATTTGCAAGTGCATAAAATAACTATGAGCTCGATGAGTAACTGACATACACCATCAAACTCACCCTGTGTGCTGCCAAGCATGGAAGCTATTTAACCACAGCTCACTCTAAGCACACATGGAGTTTATCTATAAACACATTTTTCATTATTAATCAAGTATTGGTTTTGCTGGCATCATTCTTCCAACAGAGCTGTATGCAATAAAATACCCTTCACCACAAGGTTGAGTTGCACAGAGCTATCCTAAGAAGGGTCTTTTTGGAAAAAAAATGTTCTAGAGCTCCATCAACTTAACAGTCAAATCCTCCTCTTCTGAATGCCTGTTTGTGTCTTTTTCACTGTCCTCTACTTCAATTATAAAGTGTCTCACTCGATCAGGCCCTCACTTGTCAATGGCGCTGGTATCACTCACACAGTCATTCAACATCACTGTCAGGAGCATGAATATTAGAATTGCTATATCCTCTTGATGAATTGACCCTTTATCATATGCAATGTCCCCCTGTGTCCCTGGTTATTATGATCTTTGCTCTAAAATCCACTTTGCCTGATATTGACATAGCTACTCCAGCTTTCTTTCAATTAATGTTAGCATGTGGATATTTTTCCATCCTTTGCCTTGCATCTTTATATATTTAAATGTTTCTTATGGAGGCATATAGTTGGCTTTGCTTTTAATTGGGTATCTAGACTATTTATATTCAATGTAATTATTGATAAGGTTGAGCTTAATCTACAATTTTTCTGATTGTTTTCTGTTTATCACATCTGTTCTTTGCTTCCTTTTTCTGACTTTTTTTTTGATTAAGTATTTGGGTTAACTGAATGTGTTTATTCCATTTTAATTTATTATCCAAAACTCGGTTATATTATTTTAGTGGTTGCTTTACAATTTTAACATACCTCTTTAACCCACCAGTCTACCTTCAAGTGATATCACTTCACTTATCATGTAAGAACTTTATAGCAGCATACTTCCATTTCTTCCCTCCCAGTCTTTGTGCTACTATTGTCATACTTTTTATTTCTACATGTTATAAACCCTACATAATCTTTTAAAGAGATTTAAACAGTAAGAATAAAAAGCCAAGCTGAGCATAGTGGCTCATGCCTATAATCCTAGCATTCTGGGAGGCTGAGGTAAGAGGATCACTTGAGGTCATGAGTTCGAGATCAGCCTGAGCAAGACCGTGTCTGTACTAAAAATATAAAAAATTAGCTGGGTGTGGTGGCATGCAGGTATAGTCCCAGTTACTCAGGAAGCTGAGGCAAGAGAATCACTTGAGCCCAGGAGTTTGAGGTTGCTGTGAGCTATGATGATGCCATTGTACTTTAGCTGGGGTGACAGAGCAAGACTCTGTCTCCAAAAAAAAAAAAAAACCAGCTATTTCTATTTATTCATGTAATTACTGCTTCTGGTGTTCTTACAATATCACTTATAACAACATTCTAAAATCCTGCAAGGTTTGCAATTTCACTGTAAACTGTATTGTTGGACATCTGACCCGAAAGTACACAGGCAGGATGAGCAGGAAGAGACATAGCAGCTAAAAGAATGGGATGCCTGAGTGAAAGCTAATTTTAATAGTCTATTTATTAGTTAATATAGTATATCATGGCTACTTTTACAAGCTTAAAACTGCAGGGACTTGAATGGTGAATACTTAAATTATAAGAATGTTCTATAATATAGTAGCTGATCATCATTCATGTTAACCAATATTTAGCTAAAAAGGATCAATGCAATAACACACTCAACAAGTATTAAGTTAGTGAGCCCCTGTTTTGTACCAAGGCACTACCCTAGGCACTAGGGATACCGCAGTAAATAAAACAAAGTAAGATAAAATAGTCCCTGACTGCATGAAGCTGACATTCTAGTGGCATCTAACAACCAT